TCTCTCTCTCTCTCTCTCTCTCTCTCTCTCTCTCTCTCTCTCTCTCTCCCGCTCTCTCTCGCTCTCTCTCGCTCGCTCTCTCAACCTCTCCTTCCCTCTGGCTTGCGAAAATGGTGCCCAATGACATCCGTCTACTGGCCGTTCCCTTCAGCTGGTCGGGGTTTGGCGAAGGGGGGAAATATTCATCTAGGTTCGGAGATTGGTCAGGGGGATGGGCGACCACTCGACTTCGACACATTTTTCGGCTCAAAGCCTGGACTGCGAGGTATACTTTGCGGTACTCACGCTTGACGGCGGGAGAATGGAACGGTAAAGGTTTGACACGCGCGTCGTGGCTTTCTTCTCGCAAGCAAAGGAGCCCAAGATTCGGAGGCATAGGTTTGCTGATGGCTCGGACGGGTCCAATGCCGCCCTGTAAGATTTTGACGTGAAGGCGGCCAGAGAGTTTGTGATAAACTTTATTTCAGGGCTCGGCTAGCATTGGCTGGCAGCTCGACAAGGAAACAACCTTGAGAATAAAGTCAAGTTTACGTAATGAAGCAGCTCAGCACAACGCGCTACACACTCGTGAGTATAACAGTTGCACTCGACCACTTCTTCCGTCAGCGCTTGTATGATCTCTCGTTCCTCGTAAGGGCATGGACAGACTTACAAATGTGCGCCTGCAACGGCAGAGAATATCACGAGATAACGTACAAAGAAGAGACGACCCGCAAATACATACGTAAACCGCGGAACACGTGCTTCCGGTGGCAACAGCAATACCAACCGACGGCGCACGTACGCACCTTGTGCTGAGTTGCACGAGGGTGTACGAAAGCCGTGCAAGGTGTGGTTGATCCGGTGGAAGTATTGCAGCGGCTGGAGGTAAGGATATTTCGCTTCCCGAGTCTGGTTCACGGCGATCACCTCGTCCTAGACTTGTATTGGTGACGCCGAAGTCCGACATCGGCGCGACGGCGGCCGTGACGGGGGCATCGGCGACAGCAATCACCGCTCCTCCCTGACCAGCTGGTGATGTACGACGATCATGGAAGCCCACGTGGGCGCCCTTAGCGAGTTTGTTTCCGCTTGTCGATGTCCCACCATGGGCACCATCACCGCCCTTGGCAACGACCCCATTACCTGTGCCACCGATCTTGGACGAAGGCAATCCCCACCCTCCCCAAAGAGTGGATTTTCCGCCAAAGGCCTCATCTCCCGCTGCTTTGCCACCCGTCGGATGAATGACATGGGCCTTGCCGGCGTGGTGGACGTATGGTGTGAGCCCGGGACGGGACGTCGACCGCTTTAGCTCCAAGGAGAGAGTGTTCCCAGGAGTATCCGTAGTGGCCTTTGTTTGGGCTATGGTGCCTGTGTTTCGCATAGTGCAGCCGCTTGCAAAGCTTCGGGCCACCGCAGAAGGTGCGCTGGCGGGCTTGGTTGAGCGTGATGGTAGTGACGGGGTCCAGATGGTGGTATTTCGCAGTCGCTCAAGCCTGGAAGTACCACAATTCCCGAGCGTCAACGTGGTTCGTGAACAAGGTGGGCGAAGCTTTGGCGGGGGGATCCAAGCTATGTATGAAGTGGCATTTCGAATGCGTATTTTTGACGGGAGGGCAGATCATCAACAACAAACTTGCTTGGCTCTGCCGTAATCAAAGGTTCACTCTGAAGCCAAATGATAACTGCGTGATGGAAACTGGTCGAAACCCTAGGATTGTGTTTTTGAACAAGTGCAACTACGAACAGCTCGCCCCCGGTCGTCTGTCACCTGTCCAACGGCGTGCAAACGCGGCAGCTTTCCATCGGGCAGGAGCAGCGCCCGCCGCGTGCTTCTGCCTCGTCCCCGTGCCCGTCGATCCCTCGCCCAGCTACTCTAGCATAGCCCCAGATCACAGGCGGCGGCGACGACGACGATGAACTCGGCGCGGACTGCAGGCTACGTCTCAACTTGTGGGTCCCCTGCGGGGCGGTCGAGATTGGGTCTGCGGTAGAATCTGTCAAGCCCACGCGCCAACGCCAGCGCGTGCGGGTGCTCGGTCGCGGCCGGGGCCAGTTGTCTCGGCTGGATATCCCGTCAAGAAGAGCTTGTACGCCTACGGGCGAGGCTGCTGTGTTCGGGCGCCGGCTTTCGCACTCTTCGGTTGGGATGACCGTCCTGAAGGTGATCAGTTCTGGTGCCGTTGATGGTCTTTGCAGGGGCGGAAGCGAAGGAGATTAGGTTTGAGTCACTTTGATGATAGAGCTACAGCCAACTGCCCGTGAGTTGTAGCCATGCGAACCGAGAGAGGCAAAACAAGCGGAGAACCTGTGCCGGGTGTGGAAGAATGGACATTCTGGCGTATGGTAGCAAATAGTGAAACATCATTCCAGTAGATGCAACGAGCTGCGGAAGATTTCTTACAAGGTATCCGGTCTGGGTCTCTCAGTACACCAACACGCAGGAGGAAAGCTAAAGCACCATGTGCTATTTTGGGACACGGAGAGAAAAGAGAGCAGAACGGGCATCCTGCCGTTATAGTTATCAGTACCTTAGTCGGGTCACGGGAGGAGACATTTTCCCTGTTTTTCTTTGATCTTTCCATGTGCCGCCACCAGAGAACAGCGTCGGGGCGTTTCGGTCGCATCCCCCGTGGCCGCTGAAAAATTCCCCCAGTTCACTCTCTCCATCTAAGCTCTCGTCGTCGCCGAGACCGCCCGAATGCGACAAAGACGAAGGTCCCTGCAATTTCTGCTTGTGCGTGTAAGCGATGTACCTCCTGTAACCCGTGGATAGGTTTCAGGAAAATACCCAGGAATAGGTGGACGTAGAGGCGCGAGGACAGCGTGGTGGTTTGTAGGTGTGAGAGGTTGACGCCTTAGCCAAATGTATACTGTCCGTTGGAGTAGTATGAAAATGTCTTACTGTCACCTTGTCAGAGCAACCGTTAGACACACACACGTCCATGGGTTGCAGAAGCACCGTCCGAAACGTTCAACTTGTGAGTTTTGGGCAAGTCCGGTTGTCGAGAAAAATCATCCTAATTCGCGAAATAACCCTTGCAGATTCTAAAATTAAGCTTAGCCCACCAGCCTGGGTTAGCGAGGAGGATTATTTCACCTTTCCTCCTGCGGTGCTTGCGTTCAATATTCTAGACGAGAAGGGTGTATCGATCCCTCTTTTGTTGTGTGGACCCCTATGCGCTTTTCCGTTCAATTTGCGAGTTTTCTCGCTTCGGGGAGATTCAAGCGCACATCGTAGAGCCAAGGATTCGAGCTAGGCAACTGCACCATTGAGCCACTGTTCTGTAACGGAGCTCGCAGCGATTCCTTCTCATCATTCGCCCTCGGCAACGCATCATAGTCTGCGATTTTTTTGGGCTCAACCAGTTGGACACGCATCGAAATTTGCGCTGACGAAATTGGCATGAAAGTGCTCGGAAATGGCTTAAGTCCGCCAACAGAAATGGTTTCCATTCCCACTGACCTTAACCCCTTCATGGCCCTCTCCGATAGAAAGCTAAGGAGGGCGGCCAACGGGACCGAAAGCACTTGGGCCGGGGTCGTTACTGTGATCGAACAGTGCCACTCCTACACACGCAGGCATGCAACCATGCAGAGAATCAGTCACCTCCGGCTTGCAACGGAGACATTTATTTACCCGTTCGATTTAGAGATGGGGCTATTATGTTGGCAGTAGTCGATCAGACTTGCATCCGCGCTTATGCCCATTTCGCGTACGTACGCGACGGAGCCGAGGCGAGGCTGTTTGGTTCGTCGTTTTGGCACGCCTACCGTGCCTTGGTACGCGCCTGGGTCATGACGTGGCGTACACGAATGCATCGAACGCGTGAAGGCACGGGGCGTTTCGTTGGTGACAGAGGGACACGGAATTACCCGATGGCAGGGGTTTGTAAGGACGGCTTTTAGGCACCTTGGCGTTGCGACGAGACCTCCGCTTCCGTCCCTGTTGATTTCCTTCCGGTGGCGTGTTCGGTCTATCCTCGGCACCCCCGCCGATCGCTGTCTTTTGTGGTGTCGTTGTACTGGTCGCCGTTCTCGAGGCAATTGGACTACGCCCACGTGCTGGCGGTCCGGGCATCAAATATGGCCTGACGAACAAGCGCATCAATAGAAAAGAAAATCAAAACACAAACGTTTGCTCTCCGCCAGGTGCGATGGAAGGATTGAGGTTGGGGAGAATCTTGAAAATTCGATTCAGCGCTACTTCCCTTCCCTTCCTGATAGTTTCGAAAGGGTTTACCTTCGACGGCCATCTGCACGCCTTGCTCCCTATAGTAATTTTTTCACACAGAATGACCTGCTACGCACGTCAATGGCAACGATTCACTTGCGGCCCGGGACGTTGCCAAGTCTTATCGTGCCATTGTGAATGATTTCACTGGTTTGCGTCCTGTTGGGGCCACTTCACTGTGTTTTCCGCCATTGCCAACCCCAAGAACATGTCCTGCAGCAGTCACAATATTCAAACAGCAAGAAAATCGGCGAGAACTGGACGAGGAGTCAAAATCTAACCTGACCCTAACGGGTTTCATCCTCTAGAGACGAGGCATCCAAAAGATGACGTTCTGTCCAATCGTTTGTTTTCAACTTCATAAGCCTAGCCAATACGCCAAACACGACTCTCACCAGCCTACAATGTCCCCGGGGCCGTACCGCTGGGCCTCCTCCTCCTCTTTGCCCGTGCCTGGCTGCCGGTGGAACTGTTTACTCGACTTCGAGACGCACTCGCCTCGAACGACAAAGAAGACAGTTGAGACCTCATCCCCATCTTCCGCTAGCTTTTGATTCATCTTGATCGTCCGAAATGTGGCGAGAGAGGCGATCTCAGAGCAGACACCTTTCGGGAGGTTTATGAAAAACTGCCGCCGGCACAGGAGGGAAAATACAGAAAAAACGGGGAGAGAGGAGATGGAGAGACAGAGACACGTGGATTTTTAGACAAATGTGGGAGAGAGTGGTTCGTTCACTGCTGCCAAACTGAAAGCTTTGCAGAGGTCCGCCTACACAATATGAACACTTGGTTGGGTAGACTTGTAGGCTGAAGACTGGGTGGTGAAGAGAATAACCGCTCATGGTGAACGAATTCATAGGTGTCGGCCAAGTTACCACTGAAGAGCGAGTGCTACGACAAGAAAAGAAAAATGCAATGCCATTGGCTAGAGCGTCATTCATCGTAAGGAGTGCATAAGGTACTAGAAGGTAGACGCGAGAGAATGATGAATTCTGAAGCTATACAACACAAAACGCGCCATGAATACATTATTGTCGATCGGAAAAATCTATGCCTCCCTGTATGAGCAAGAAATTGATAGATGGACCTTACCCGTCACAGCCAAAGCACGTCAGTGACATATGTCGATCAGTGAACGAGATCGAGTGAAGTAAAACTGATGGGTTGGTCAAGCAAGATCAGAAATTGAACAAATAATATATATGGGTTCTACTGCTCTGTTCGGGCGAAGAAACAGAAAAGCACTCACCGACTACGCCAGCCTTTCTGACGGTACGGAAGCATCATTATTGGCCCTGGATGATACAGAGGGAAGGCCAACAATGTGCTCTGGTTGCAACCCCTAATGGACCAAACAATAAGCTGATATCGCATGGCTGCATGATGTACCGCATTCTTCAGAGAGGAGAAACGGGGGCTTCTCCACGCGAACATGTCCTTGGTTCGTCACCTTGTCGAATATTGCCATGGCCTTCTCGCTATTGCGAAGAGCCACAAAGGCACGCAGACGGCGGCATTCCCTGGTGAAGCAAGCCAACACATGGGAGGTACGCACGGGTAACAGGTCGCTGTTGGCAATCAACGTGCTGAAAAGGAAAGCGCCTAGGGTCACCCTTCTCTTTAACGTCAGACCTCGAATTGGTCTATATAGGCTGGTCTATACAGACTGGCCGACGCCAATTTTGACCCCAGACTACGTGCGCGAAAAATGTTTTCGACGTACTCAAAGCCACGGTTACCAGAAGACTCGAGACCATCAGATGCCCACGTAATTACCTATACCGTGCTTCACCCTATGAAGACTAGCGGGAATCCGATGAAGGCGAGGAGTAACTCTCTGACGCCGTGGTTGTTTCGTCCAACGCTTCATTCTCACCTGGCGGGCACCACGAGAAGCTCACAGGGAGCCGTCCGGGTCATGACCGTGGCGGTCCGAAACGGGATGCCCAGCACATGCTTCACGGCCACCGACAAGTATTCATCACCGAACAGATCTCCCTCTCTGCATGCACACAGCACGTGGAAACGCGACGTAGCATCGAGACTGTCGTAGGGGAGGGGAATCGAAGCCAACCTGGTTGGCATCTACACCCTTCGTGTCCACTGCAGATCGTGCCGGTCACCAAACACCAGGTGTTCGAGCCACGCAAGTTGCTTTTCGCGAGGAAACGTCGCTGTTGAACTCGTGAACCAACTTCGAGTGGAGTTGTTGCTAAACTACTTGACTTCAAAGGAGGCGCGCATTGTTTCGCAACGTGCCAGTCTACTAGCTTTTCACGACCTCCGTGATACACGAACAATGAGCGCCCGCGAGGTTCGAGTACTTTTGCATATAACAAGGGCAGTGTAGAGAAAATACAGGCGAGATCAGACCACGTGCGTACACTCACGTGATCAGTCTATCCCCCGATTTATCGCCGCCGATCTGGTCGGCAGTTCCAGTAAAAATGATGTATGCCTCACCGAAGCACTCGCGCCCTCTCCGAAAGACATGCCTGGAAAACAAAAAAACGTGTGGTACGTCGTTGATTTGTTCCCGGCTCTGAATCTGAGTCCGGGGTGCGGGATTCATTCCACTCTCAACGCATTTGCGTACAATTGCTGTTTCTTATCGCTTGCCGAGTTTGGGACTTTAATTGTTGAAAAGCCTACCCGCATCGAACCGACTTTCCAAGAACGTATACCCACTTGTTTCAAAATAGCGCTGAATGTTGCTGAACGACCGATGTGTTTTTGTTTCATTTGGTAGGTGTCCACATAAACGGAAAAATACAAACGCGCCTGCCTGGAACTGTCAATCCACGTAGCTCAACTGCTGCAGCCATGGCAGATACCTGCTCCAGTGGTAGATCAGCGCAGAAAGCCACCTGTGCGATAAATAGAGAACGGTGGTGGATCTGACAAGAGGGGTCACCTCTGGAATATGTTTGCGGGTCCAAGGGAATGTAGATCAAATTTCACACCATCAAACGGCCGTCACTTCGTGGAACAGAACACGTAAACGAAATGAATATATCTCATGGCGTAATCCACAACGACCGGAATCGGTTGCAACGTGGGAGTCCCGCGAGCACTGACGGAATACGCTGAGGACAGTAATTGTCCGTAGAAATCTAGCTATCAATAGAATGATGAGGAAGGCCCTTTGTGGATACGTTGATGTATCCCTGTAAACGTTTGCACAATTTTCACGTCGACTTTCATAGATTTCATACCCAGGGCAGAGGTTGCAGTAGCTCTATCATCCTGATACTCGTGTCTTGCCTTCGACGCACACCTATAAAAGTATCTAGGCCCAAAGAACTCAAAGCGATGACGTCCGGATTCCTACAGGAGTTTAGTCGTTCATCTTGAACTAGTGAGTGTGACAGCTAAAGGCCGTCAAGATGGATCTACTCCCCATCACAAAACACAGATATCACGGCGCGTGTTCCTCGGTTTCATTTTCACGGCTTTGAGCTCCGGGGGAACGATTAAGGACGAACCTCTCCAACGAATGTGACCCAATTCGCTCGAATTTAGGTAGGAAGCGAATTTGTCGGCACTGTTGCTATCTTCACACGTATGATAAACTTCTGACCATACCCTGAGCATCATCTCCCGCATTGTAAATAATTCTGCAATACACTCATGTCCGTCGTCACAAGTAAAATGGTGCGGGTCGATAGTACTTGGAATCAGTGTTGGTAAGAGCGGTCTTTCCTATAAAGTATGCGTCTTGAACGGGGTTGATAACTTTTCAAGGGCGTCTCGAATTGTTGGCATCAAAACCCAGATTTTCAGGACGTTTTCCTATCCAAAATAAAGCACTTCGCCAGTCATCCCAAAGCTCATCAACGGATAACCTTGCATCGAAAAGCTGTGCTACGCAGGAGACGTAGGGAAATCAGTTTCACCAATAGCGGTCCATCTCACCCTCTCCGTGAGGTACTTGATCGCGATTTTGAGTTGATCTCCCGCCCTTCCTTTCGCCGGAAAGTTGAAAGCCAAGCGGGCCTTGCTCTTAAGGGGGTCGGGTTCCTTCAATGCGTCGTATTTTTCTGTCGTGTTTAAGAACTGGCTCCTGATAACAAGAAAACCACGAAATATCGAGTACCCGGAGAGAAAATGATGCGGAGAGTACGAGTGCTATCTGCTGGAGTTAGAGGGTGCAGTGTTGCTGATACGTATAATTCTGTTTGGAGCTTATGCGCAACATGCATTTTTCACCGGCTGATGGTTTTGTGCAAATAAAACGTTCTTCCGAGTAATAAGCGAGCAACCGAAGAGAGCGTGTTCAAACCAAAGGTGACTATCGTGACGTGCCTGCAAGTTCGGAGCGTTGAAACCCAGTCCTGACGTCCGATTACCAGAAGCTCGGCTCTCCCGTCCTTCCTGCCCCCTCCGCGGGTCTTAGCGGCAACGTCGCCACCGCCGTCGTGTGGAAGCTCTAGGTGTGGAGTCTTCGCATATTCAAGAAAGTCCTCAACAGGCTTGTCACCATCTAGGTCTGGGTCCAAGGGGTGGCCGAACTCCTGCCCCGCTCCCAGCACACGCACACCCTTTGGGGACAGCGAGAGCAGGTAAAAAACGTTTATCAGTTTCAATAGTGACACGCAATACTGAAGATGATCCCGTTATGATGCTCCGCAGACGGTTGCAGCCGTCCCGAAAAACTCGTAATGTCGGCAAATAGGTGTTGCCTTGGCGTTTACATGTTGTCCGCGGCAGGCCAACCGCGCTTTTATCGAGAGCACGTGCCAGGCAGGTGAGGCAGCGGCAAAGTGTCCTGTGCGTCTCAGCTGCTTTCGATGCGCTCATGCACCGTCACGACCTCACTGACAACACCCGTACCCCGTCGTTGCCGGAGAGGCTGGCTCATGGCAAAGGTAGATTTTTTGACAATTTTCCTTTATTCTTTGTTCCTTGTGAGTCTCTCACCTCCGCCCCTTCTCTGTCAAGCACGTTGTTAGTGAGCAGAACTGTCCCCCTCAACACGACGTACGACCTCATCGCTGGCGAGTGTTTGAGGTACACCATGTCTCCCGGCGCAGTCAGTTCCAGCTGTGTGTAACCGGTTGACCATCGCGCGAGCATGTTTTCAACTTTGAGCGTTTCAATCTCTTCACTCCAGCACGACTGTAGCCATTTCAATAAAAGAAACGCTATAAATAGACTTGTTGAACGCCCATCAGAGTACCTTATAATGTTTGGACCACTCCAAGGTTGACGTCCATAGGCATCATGTGGGTTCGGGAAGGCCTTCTACTCGAAAATTGAATGCTGCAGTGGTCTCAAGGAAATGAATGCCCTACGGCAGGCAGATTGGTCCATTTCACCGACAACCATGACACAAGACTGAAGCTTACGATCGATGGTCATTGTCAAATAATCTCCATGAAAGAAAGAGACTCACCGCTCGATAGAGGATGAGATGACTTCCATAGGCATCATGTGGATTCGGGCAGGCCTTCTACTCGAAAATTGAATGTCTGCTTGTTGTTGTTGTTGTTGTCTTCACATTAAAAATCGTTCTGATCTTTCGCTACCCAGTATCTTCGTAAGTCCACACTGATCCAACACTCGATGCGGTCGATTCCCGTGGTCACAGGTTATCTTACCCTAAAAAGGTACACTCAAATAAACTGGCCCCGAGGGGTCCGCAAGTCAATAGAAATCAACGACAGATATTCTGGAGTCCTCCACTCCCTCTGCGCGCTATGGGAGGAACAACTGAGACTAGGAGTTACCATCACGGGCCGGAGAGAAAGAAGTACACCCCCTTGGTTCAATCTTGGTACTTCACAACGCAAGCGGAGACAGGGCCATCTGGCACAGAAAAAGAGGGAAAAAAAGAGAGGAAAAACGAATACAGCTTGCAGCGGTCTCAAGGAAATGAATGCCCTACGGCAAGCAGATTGGTCCATTTCACCGACAACCTGACACAAGACTGAAGCTTACGATCGATGGTCGTTGTCAAATGATCTCCATGAAAGAAAGAGACTCACCGCTCGATAGAGGATGAGGTGAGTTCCAATATAAATGGCCGGTCCCTCTACACTCGTGATGATCTCGTTGTTCTCGGCATATTTGGTTGCGGATGCTACTAACGACTCACGTGGAGGTTCCGCACGAATTCGTGGGCCTGATGTTTGTCGAGGGAATCCAATGGAGTCCAAAGAAGTCCCAGCCGTTCCAAAGCATCCTGAAATCTGATGAGCTCACTAACCGTTCGGTCATCCCCGTCCCTTCTTGCCACCGATCGAACCAACTTGTTGTGTGTTTGGGGAAGAACACCAGCAATTAAAAATAATGCTTGCAGTGAATACTTGTATTCGCACACCGTATGTGTATGTTGAGGCAATATATATACTCGTTTTGGAAAACCCTACAATTAATCTGCAGTGGTCAAGCCCGCTACGTTTCCACGACGCCCCAGGTGGGAGGTCCTTCAGTGCAGTACAAAACTGTTGTTCCTTACAGGGGCGAAAGGACGGAACCGTACAATAGGCGCGTGGCCTTGTGCATAAGTTTGAAAACCCACTGGCTCTGCGTAGACTGTAGACTACCCAGTCGGGCGTTGACTGGGCAGTCTTGTCCAGAATAGTCAGGTCAGCTCATTTGACACAGGAGATGATGTACGCTTTGGGGTTCATAAATCCGTCTCGGAATCAGCAGTGATCTCGGAGGGGCCCAGTCCTCCCCTCGCCTGCGCTTCTGAGGCCGTGATCCCGAGCACTAAAATACCCAACGGACGCCGCGACTGCTGTTGTTGTCTCTCTCCACCAGCAACTCTCATGGACCTCGGAAGAAAGTCTACTTTACATGTACAGAATCCACTGCTGAGTGGATAGGGAGACTCGGCGCCACACATACTTGGTGCGAATAAACGGACAGACTCAAATAAGGAGGACCGACTCGCTCAGAAACCCCGACAGTATATGAGCAAGGCTCGCAGCCTTCCGACCCATGTTTATGGTCGCCAAATCTTTGCGAAATCGTCAAACTTGTCAAAGATTTGCGGAACAATATTTTGTTTCACTTTTTATGGGAGAAAATATTATGGCAAAATCTTCCCAAAGATTTTCAAATGGGGCAAAAGTCGCTCGTTCGACAAAATGTTTGACAAACATTTTGAAATGAGGCAGGTCGCAAACATCTTTTCCAAGAGCGGCGAGATTAGTAGCCGACCGCCCCTTCCGTCCTCAACACCGACCACTGCGCAGCGCACACTCAACGTAGAAAGCTCATAGATGGATCCGGACAACCCTAGAGTCACCGTGTCAACGTTTTGCCGGCTGATACATGGCGGGAGCTCGTCAAGCGTGCACAAAAAAACAAATAGGGGTGGTTTGGAGGGCACGGAGGAAACGTGGTTTGTGTCTCCGAACGACAAAATGTCGGCTGCTTGAGAGGAGACGCGAGTACAAAACTATTTAGCTCTCGTCCTCTGGACCATCGATTCATGTTTTGTCTTCTTGGGTGTCTTCTCTATCAACGGCTCTCATCCGGGTGTACGTGTTTCAGCAGTGGACGTACTCAACAGGCAGGGAGGCGCGTTGCTGTGAACTCGGTACGTTGAAAAAGTCTTCTTTGGGACGGAAGAACAAACCCTCTATATTCAAGTGAAAAAATTGATCGAAAAAAACGTTGTGTCCACAACTTTGTGCGCACAACGATGCGCCTCTCTGTCGACTGAGCACGGCCACTGCTAACCCACGCGCAAGCGGATGAGAGTCGTTGATGGAGAAGACACCCAAGAAGACAAAACATGAATCGATGGTCTAACGGGCGAGAGCTGGATAGTTTTGGACTGAAGTCTCCTCTCAAGCGGCTGACTCATTGCCGCTGGGAAGCGCTGACGCACGTTTTGGTCTCTTTTTGACACCGAGAACATTTTTTCTCGCACACCCGGAGCGCCATCGCCACATATTGGCGGGCACAGCATCAGCTCAGTGCATTAAGGGTTGTCGGGAGCCCTTTGCGAGCTCGTTACATTCGGTTTCCATGACGCATTTGTGGTTTGTCACAAATCGTTTGATAGCAGCAGACCACGATTCCCGCTGCACTTCTGATACATTCCGAGAAAACCACACGATAAGATATTTTTTCGCATAAAATCGATACTCATATGTTTCTCTGGCAGATATTCACGCGCAAATGTTTGACAACATTTGAAGATTTATTTTCAACATTTTGAAACCATTAACATGGGTCTCATTTCTCGACGATTGAACACAGGCTGTTCCTAAGCGAGCAGTGGCCAAAATCGGGTACACTCGGTCCAAACATGGCCATAATCGGTTACTCCTACAAGACGTTGCTGGAAACGACCGTATTACACCATCTCAATGGCCGACGCCCACCCCTACCCGACCTTGACCATCTTTCCACCGGGTGCACCCGATCTTGGCTACTCGCTCCCCGGAGGGGTACCCGGTTTCTTGCCCCTACCCGAAAATGGCTGGGCTGTTCGGCCAAACCCCATGCACACAAGTACACGTCAGCAATGCCTTGCCCTCGTATTCGGACGTTCTGACGGCAGGCGGGGGCGGACCCACCGCTGGCGGTGACTCTCTCGCTTGGGGGAAACGGCATCAGGCAGGCGGTGAACGAGAAGAGCTGTGGATGAATACCTCACTCACGAGATGCGACACACACGAGACGCATCTAAAAAATATACAAAATTGTCTGCTTCCTGCTTCTTTCTCATTGGTGACGAACGAGCGGCCAGCGGTGTGCGTCCTACACGTGATTGTGTGCATGTGGGTTTTCGCCGAACAGCCCCGCCATCTTCGGACATGGGAAAGAAACACCGGGTACTCCTCCGGGGGGTTGAGTAGCCAAGATCGGGTGCACCCGGTGGAAAGACGGTCAAGGTCGGGTAGAGGCTGGCGTCGGCCAATCAGACGGTGTCGTGCGGTCGCTTCCAGTAGCGTCTTGTAGGGGTACCCGATTATGGCCGTGTTTGGACCGGGTGCACCCGATTTTGGCCACTGCTCTTCCTAGGCCCCCATACAGGATTTGGTATGGTGGCGACCCCATGTATGTACTGAACCTCGACGTCTTGCGATTTTTCTTATTCTATGGTCTATGGGCGAGCGGCACTACTGTAGTCTAGACCACCAGGCTGGTGGGTTAGCCAGTCGAACGTGCAGGCATAATCTTTTCATGTGCAGCGTTGTTGGCCGTGAAACACACCTCCAGGAGAGCCTCCTCATCGTATTCTTGGTCCGGAAAAGGGTCGTCTTCGAGCGTGAGGTAGAGCATCGCGGGTTCTCTCACATCTCAAAGGTTAGCGAGAATCCACCCTTGACGGCCCGTCCGAAGTATGAATGATGTGAAAGTCACGAGCACGAGCGTATCTTGCTCCCGCATCTTGCACGAGCCCGCCCAATTGGATTTATCGAGGTACACATGCGCTCGGAAGCCCGATTGTAGGAATCGGGGCAATGAAACGAAACGAATGATGCCGCAACTCTTCCCGAGACGGCACAGCGGCAGCGGCGAAAAATAGACTTGCTTGAGATGAGAGAAAGGTAAAGGTGACAGAGTGTACGCCAAGCCGCCACCCACACACAACCCTGCCGCGGCCCTCTTCTCCTTCATCAAGACCTATGTCGAAGTGGCTGGGATTGCGAAGATCGGGCGCCCGGTCCCCCACATCGTCGGCAAGTGCCCTTCCCCCTGATGACGTTCCCGCTTTCCTCGGGAAGCAAAATAGCAGCGTTGCGGCATGTTCTACTCCAACGCCGAGGACGGGCCGGAGACGCTCGAGCGAGGAGACCGTTGACGCAGACACATCCCGACGCTCGTCAAGAGATGACGAGGACGCTCAAAAAGGGGCTGCACCCGCGGATCATGGGCGTGGTCCTGGTGATGGTGTGTCGGACGAATGCTGTGACTGGGAAGTGGTCCAACATACCTCTGCCGATTTCTCAGGCCTTGTTAGTGTGGGCGGTGAAGCGGAAGCCGAGAGACCACTTTCTCCGGGAGTGGATTTCAGCGCGGCGTACATGGTTGATAGGGAAGGAGAGGAAGGGCGGCAGGCCGGAGCTAGTGCCTCTGATTGCGACGGGAATGACACCTGCAGATGGAGAGACGCGGCCAGCATCCATAGCTTTCTTGTCCGCGGGCCAACTTATCTTCAGGTGGGTGCATCTTTGTCCTGTGCACCAGCAAAGGCGAACTGATGTTGGTGTCGCTCACCAAGCCATGACGGGTGTGCTACACATGTCCAGTTCCAGAGCTTGACTATCGCACCTCATGTACGTCTGCGATGTCTGGAACAGTTTTGTCAACAACCGCATACATGCGGGTGTGCGGGTGCCGTTGAGTGTGCAATTCCACCGAGAAAAAAGTAAAATAGAAAAATACGACCAACGGTGACTTCTTCGGCGCAATGTCATCATTCCTTCGCAGAATAGGCCATGCATACGTACTATATGCATACAATCGCATACAGAGCCTCCCCGTTCGAGACAAAACCCAAATCGAAGGGATTTGTTGAGGTATTTTCAGTGACCAAGGAAATTAACCTGCTGGGTGGGTTTACCGCAAGGTTGCGAGTAACCACACCCCCTTGAGGTCGTTTTTTAAACATTTTCGCCATTGAATTTGCATCGCACAGGAGTGCGATTACTCCGGACCGTGCGGAGACCCCGGACCCTGTGCGTGAATCGAATGAAATCATTGATTTTGATACATAGCGCACACCCCTGTTCGATGACTCCGGTATGTACGGTCCTGAGTAAACCCTGAAGGCGGTACTACTAGATAGGGCGGGGTAATGAGCCGCGGGGTAGCCGACTCTATACCTTGCAAAAGTCTATCTGCGATGCTTTTTGCGCGAGTGCACCCACTCGTCGAATTCGGATCCGAGTCACCATCATCGATGACTCCTCCTCCATCTTCTATCTACAACGAACGGACGGCCGTTGGGGAATATTTATTCATGCGCAACACAGCTTAACTGCTGTAGATGACGCAAGATACCACACCCTGGACCAACTTCCAAGCACGGTTGCTCCACACCACAAAGATTGGCGGTGCCGAAAATGGTAGTGTGGGAACCGTATCGTCGAGAGCTTTCCGACAACGTCTCGCTGAGTTTACACATCCTCTTCGTCGTGGAATAATCGAACTTGAAAAAATCGGCACAGGGGGTGTGGTATCTCACGTCACCCACGGTAGACCTGTGTGCCAATACGTGCGTTTCATATCGACTTGATCTTTCGATGGTTTCTCTGCACAGAAGTCTCGCAGCAGCACTTGTAAAGCTATTCCCCGCGACCTGTGTTTATGCCATCAAGTCTTGTGAGGCGGCTGATGGAGGCCACGGGGCCGTAGGACCCACGGAAGTTGGAGGCGGCAAGAGTCGGTACAGCGCATTTGGCATGCGAGAAAAAACATCCCGCCAAAAAAAAGGAGACTCTTGTTGAGCATTTTAGCCCATGGCACAGCTTTTTGTTTCAAGGCAACCCCTCCCCGCGCGCCGAAGCAACAGTAATAACAAAGGTACCCGCCACGAGCTCCAGCTTCGTCTTGTGTGATGCAGACCAGGAGGGCCTAGGACGCTCAGAAATTTCGATCGGCGATCCCGAGAGTGTGGGACAGCCCGAACAAAAAACGCCGCATCTGCTGGGACCAGTTGGATCAGGCAGATTGGGTTGCACTGATGATCCCTGTCCACACACCTAGACAACAGCCATGACAACGGCGTCCGCCACTAGCTCTGTGTATGGATCCCTATCCCCCCCAGTGCTATATTGCCAATCCTGGCGGTGTTGCGTGTTTCGCTGAGTGCTTCCTCTGTTTCTCCTGGGGGAATGAAACAAGCAACCAACCGCGCGTGTGTGTATATGTGAGAGATCCACGATGCCTTGGCTTGCATCACCTCTACAACTCCGCGGGGAGCGGGGTGAGTACCTCCTATGGTTTTGGGGTACAATCGCCGATGAAGCACGGCCATCTTCTGTCGGAGCACGACCAAACCGGTGTGGTGAAGAGCGCCCTATTTTTCTTGTTCCTCACATGCCAGCAGATCGTCAAGCGGTGCTCTATAGACCTCGTGCTGGTCGAAAAGAATGGACAATTCAGGCGGTCGTTTATTGAAACTTGGGCCCCTGGTAGATAGAGAATGTTTTTCCCTCCTCGGAGGGAAAAGAACGGTCGCGCTCGGCGGCTCAGTATCAAGAAATTTTATCGCACACCCCTGTGCGATAACTCCGGTATGTGCGGTGCTCGAAAAATCTTTGCAGACGCACGGGCACCTCAGTTGTGCTGCGTTTGCAGGCCAAACACGCAATCTACACACACACGTGCACGTCAGTGGCAGGTTGGCGGCCCGAACATTCTTGTGTTTTCATCCCAGCAGTACGGAGGTTGGCGCTGTTGGGTGCTTTTGGTAGTGACGGGGTTTCAAGTTTGTTTGGTAGCGAAAATAGAACATAGGTAGTAGTGGTGCTGTTCCATGGTACTTACTGCTGTTCGTTGATTTGGCTTATGACTGCTGTTTTTCTTACTAGTGTTTTGGTTGAATGGACAATGTTCAAGGTTACCGATCCATTGGAAATACCCATGTGTTTCATTTCCTTCATACCTCCACGTGTGGTGCCCGACCACAACCTACCCATAAGGCAGAGCTAACAACATGCCAGCACTGGCCTGGTTGCAGGGGTGAAAGTTGCCCCAGAATCGCTGGCGCTCAACTACCCTAAGTTGCGAGTCATCGCACCCCTGTGCGATGACTCCGGACCGTGCGGAGACCCTGGACCGTGCGCTGACTCGCAACCGTACGGTATTTTGTTATTATCCGCTCGGTAGGGGTAGAAAATGTCAGGAACTTGGCTCGGAAAGTGCCATTAAGCAGTCTTCCATCAATGTCTACTGATACAGCGCCAACGCGGGTGTGATCGATCTCGACGTCATGCCCCATGACCAGAAAATGTGTCAATGCCGAGGTTGACAAGATTTTGATAAACTTTTCCCGTGTCACTGGCCAGGTCCTGATCGGCCCTCTCTTGTGCTCTTACCGGCTTTTGTTTGTTTGTGCGACCAGAAGGGTGATGTGAAGTCTGGAATGCAACATCTCATTCGTCTTGGTAGGATTGCTTCGCTATTTCATGAGCTGCAGGCAGACTGTGTACCATGCGCTTCAAGTGTTTTGGCGTGTAGTGCCGAGTCCGCATGGCGAGATTGCCAGCACGTTCGCATGCCAACATGCCAACATCCTCTGTCATAGCCTCCCGAGGCGATCGTCTTACTTTTGTGAAATCATACACCCCGGGGCTATCTGAAAGGTAGAGGGGATCTTTCTGAAAAAACAAAACGCGCGAAAAAGCCCCGGGGGGCGTTGTCTCTTTTCTGCTGTGATGCACCTGCTGTACAGCACGACACTGAACCAAATGCTGCCACAATGGAATGCCGTCCGTGGGTTTTGTGTGCGAACGTCTCGTGGGCGCCCTAAATAAATTGCCGAAAGACGAACACCCCGGGACTTAATCAAGTGTAGAGGGGCGAAGAAATTAACAAGAAATAGAAAACGATACCCCCGGGGCTAATTCACAGTTAATGGGCTAGGGCATGAAGGGCGGCTGTGACAGAGGGTAGTACGAAAAGTTGTTGAAGGCACGCCGAATCAACACAATAGAACAGACGAGGCCGAAACTCTGCTTAGTCCAGCAGTAAGACAAGTACAACTTCAACACCACCAACAATCCCCTGTATTACATGTGACTGCTGGATCTCTGAATAACATGGACACAACGACATACAACCGCCAGCACGTGTTTTCACCGTCATGTCAAGCGTGGGTCGAATCGAGATATAGAGTAGTGTTTTACTCGTTTCGAGAGGTTCCTCAGCTACTGCAGTACAGTCAGTGTGTGGTCTCCTCTGAAGTCGTTTCCATCAATTCTGCTGGGATGTTTTAGATTCTTCTCCACTTTTGTCTTCCTTTGGTGTATGATGCTACTAACTGTGCACTGTTGCCGTGCTTCCTAGCTTCTAACCTTGTACGGCAGTCGCCCCCGCTGTTGTGGTGACAGCGTATTGCCCGATTGCGTCCAAACGCCAATCTGCTTGTCTAAGTTGCATGTTGGGAATTTTTAAAACCCGCACACGCGATTTTAAGACTGCAAGTATGTACTGTCGGCTGTAGGGTTTGTCTAACGACAACGCAATACCAGGGCAGCGATGTGCACGAACAGACACATTTGGTAACAAGCATTTTGGTTCTCACGCATATCCAGGACAAAGCCAAGCTGCCGGCGGGAAAGGCTATGTGCCGGCTTGTCGGGTTCGACTGCTTCACGGAAAACTCCAAGGGCACGACGAGGATAGATCACATCGCTTCCAGGTGAACGAGAGGAAGAACACGATTTTGAAGCTGTACAACCGCATCCCCATATCATCCCGTGAAGTGTTCCCACGCAAGAAGCACACCTTGCCTGATGGATGGGGGCACTGATATGGAATTACGCCTCCCCCCCCCAAGCCCCTCCCCCGATATGTTTGCCATCGGGGTCGGGTTTTGGTCGCTTGGCAACGACGTTGTAAAACAAGCCGCCCCCCCCGGT